ATAATTTTTTTAAGGTGGGCACGCGAACGTGTACACCCGGGCGGGAAAAAAATTGTCAGCAGCCACCCCCCCCCGCAACCGTCGGCTATCCCTGTCTCTGGTGCAATGAGTGCCGCACCCCTCTCTCTATTTGCAATGGGCACCTCTCAGTATAATTTTCCTCAGTTTAGACTCTGTCCTTTGACGGAGTCGCCTCTGATCGCACTCTGCCCAAAGACAGTGGCGCAACTGAGAGATGATAACTTTTTTATTTACTCACCCCCTCCCCTCGAGTTAAGATTTTGAAACAAGGTCAGTTTAATGTGGGGAGCCCAAGTGCTTACACCCGGGCTAAGAACAAAACTTTTGATCCAAAGGCGACGCACCATATTTTTCTAAAAAGAAAGTTCTCCACCGCTTTTCCGATTTCAGACAACAATTTTATTTTCGCCAGTTTTACTTCTCGTCCAACAAAATAGAAATAATGTCCCCGGCAGTGAGGGTCACGTAAGAGCTCGGCCAAAGATCGTCTAAGTCGAATATTTTTGGTGTTACCGATACAGACCAGTTTACTCTCGACGGATTTCAAAGAAAACTGGAAAATTCCGATCGCATTCAAGTTTGAGAGAGTTACGTTTTCTAACTGATTACTACAGAGAAATCTTCCTATTTTAACCTTTCACACTATAAAAACCAAAATAGCACCATGTTGCATTATGGGAATTGTATGATCATTTTCTTTTTGCACACACGTGCTCGCATTGCCATTTGACATGAGAATAAGTTAGGCAAAAAATGGCATGATACAAACTTTACATATAACAGCGAAAGTGCAGTGCTTATTTTTAAATATAATTCACTAGGCTTACAAAGAAGGAAGAATCTGTCTATATTTCTGAGATGAGGTATTATGTACATTATTTACATTATACGGACTATTGTCCTCATCTTTTTCGCCATATTTATTACAACGTTTCGGCCGTTGTACGCTCCGGCCTTCTTCAGGTGGTTGGAATGTCGAACTGAACCCTTTATTTCGCTCACTGGGGTGGACTGTTCTAGTTCCACGTGCACAGGACACCTGGCACAGTGGATAAAGGCGTTGGTTAGATCCAGTGACGGGACCCAAAGAGTGTGAGTTCAATACCCGGCTGCCAATGGAGAACTTTTAAAGGGAATTTGACAGGTGATAACTGATAACTGGACATCCATTAAACATGAATGTTAAGTAGAACACTTTTACCCCCAGTGAGCGAAATAAAGTGTTCAGTTCACAATTACCAACCACCTGAAGAAGGCCGGAGCGTACAACGGTCGAAACGTTGTAATAAATATGTCGACAAAGATGAGGACAATAGTCCGAATAATGTAAATAATGTAAGAAGGAAGAAGTCTGAAAAATATTTCCAAAAGTGAAACATTGATCTTTTCAGATATATATATGTATATGATGGACCCTCCAGCTTCTATCGATACATGAGGATCGATCAGATACAAACAGACAGAGTACCCGCGCATATAAGTTGATTCTAGAGTTGAAGTATTGTGTCGAATAGTCAACACCTTTTCAGAAGAAACGAATTCAGGGAATTGGATCCCATGATGTACCTCAAGGTGTCAAAACGATTTGGAATTCAAATTAGACATTCTTTTGAACTTGTTACGAACTAAGGTGAAAGAGACCAATTATAAATTATATATACGACTGCTGTTAGTTTTGTTCGTTAACCGATATCTTTAACATAACCCTATAGAAAGAACTCAAGAGGAATGATATTTGGTGAATTCAGTGGCCGGATGTTTGGTCTATCTCCTCCAATCAACTTGTTTGGTAGTGTAGGGGTTCATTTAACAGTAACTCTTTCATCAACAGGGTACCTGAAACAGAAAATGGGATTAAAAACTTTGATACCTACTGACTGCATAGAAAAAAAAATTCTGATTAAGATATCTCATTAATTGACATTAAAAAAATATTGTTTTAAATTGTAAGGAGGCTTTATAGAGACCCTGAATAATCCGTTTGTATGGCCATGTCCGCCTACTGTTGCTGAGTACAGTTCTCTGTTAACAAACGAATGTTTTATTACAAAGGTGTCTGGATACAAACAGATAATGACAAGATATCAAATAATATTTTATATTTTAGACTAAAAACAGGTGAACAAGACCTTGAGAAGGAAAACACTCCGTGTTTACACTATGTCTCTTTCTGTCTGTGTGTCTCTCTTTCTTCTCTTCTAACCCTAACCTTCGTCGCAATATCACAGCATATAAAAGATAGCTTCATTCTTCTTTTACGCGCTTAAAAAAAACAAATCTGAAAATATTGCCAACATGATTAAAACTCTCTCTCTCTCTCTCTCTATATATATATATATATATATATATATATATATATATATATATATATATATGTTATATATGTATATATATATATATATATAGATAGATAGATAAATAGATAGATAGATAATAGTTAAAACTTGGTAGGTTTGTCTGGCTCTCTATGGTTTAATTG